TTCCCCGTCCACTGCAAGGTGGGGGAGGTCTCCGGCAAGGAGACCCGGGGCTGAAGGTTGATATGATGCACCGAGTACCGAACCGCAAACGGCCACAGAAAATGGGGAGCAGCCGCATGGATCATGGACGTACGAGCGACGTCCATGACCATGCCAATGCGGCGCTCAGCAATCCCATTTTGCTGTGGAGAGGCCGCAAGCGTGAACGTCTAGCGGATGCCCTGTGCACAACAGAAGGCTTCTAGAAGGCCAGAGGAAAACTCCCCGCCTTTGTTAGAGTGCAGACGCAGAACAGGAAAGTCCGAGCCCAAACTCTCTCTGAGCTGGAGACGAGCTGCGCGGATCCAGTCGATCAACACCTCAGTGACGTCACCCTTGCTGCGCAAGGGGAACACCGTGGTGTAACGCGAGTAGTCGTTAACCACCAATAGGAAGTAACGCTCGTGACCCTGGCCACGGACGCGGGCGGGGCCCCACACGTCCATGTGAAGAGTCTGTAGCGGAGCCTCTATCGGAGGAAACTCAGAGGAGTGAGGAGCGGCGCGCTGTCGCCCCTCGACGCACGGAACGCAATTAGGGGCAGGCCCCGGAGGAAGGGGAGGGAGGGACTGGGGGAGACCGGAGACAAGGTAATGGGAGCCCATGCCTCGGAGATGAGGCAGGGAGGGGTGACCAAGACGGTGGTGCCAGAGGAGAGTCTGGTGGGACAGTAGACGACACGAGCAGGGAGCAGACTCAGGACCAGACCTGGACGCTGCAGCAAACACCTGACCCAACGCAGCAACCTTACCAGACTCAGCAACTGGAGAAGACTCAGTAGTCAGTGTTTACAGGCTCTACCCCGGCTGACGGGTAAACGTAGCCAAGTGTCGGCCCATCCGAGCACATGTACTGTGGGTCACTTGCTGACTCGCAAGAGTGAACTGGTCAACCCCCCCATCCTGTAGATCAGCACCACTCACCAAGTTCGTAGAGAACGAGGGGAGGTAGAGACCTTACAGGGTGCCACAGGGGGCCGCCGGACAGTGGAGAAGTGGGCAAGGACAGGACCCCCAGGGAGACCGCAACCGGCCGACTAAGTGGCGTAAGCGTGGTGCGGTCTCGAAAGAAGGAGCGGGAAGCACCCGAGTCAAGGGTGAAGGTGTGTAAGGTCTGAGCCGACGTGGTACCTGAGAGAGCCGACTCACTAGTACCTGGGGCAACAGACGCACTAGCACCTAGAGTAGCAGCGTCACCAGCACCTAGAGCAGCAGCCTCAATGCCCGGGTCAGGCGGAACATACAGGTAACAGTCACCCTCATCACTAAAAGACACAACATACATGGCAGCAAGAATAGCATCATACTCCAGATCAAAGATAGCAACCCCCGACCTAAGCAGCTCGCCCCAGCGGGGGATCTAAGTGGCGTCAGGGAACTGGAGACGCCAAGCGTTCGTCAGGCGGCCGAAGCTGCGCTGGGTGGTGTGCGGGCCACCGCACGGCTCACCAGTGCGGTCGCCGGTACGCAGGACGTAGGCACAAGGACCAGCACCCCCACCCCGCTGACGCGCAGCGTACCACTCACGAAGCTGCTAGGGGGGTGGGGTCTCACGAGTGCGCTGCTGCTGCTGACGCTGACCACCACCAAAGCCGCCCCGCTGCGCAGAGCCACCCCGACCAGCTCCACCTCCGCCGCCGCCACCTCCGCCACCGCCGCCTCCGCCTCCTCCTCCGCTCCCACCGCCACCGCCGCCGCCACCGAAGCCCCCACCCCCGCCACCACTCCCACCGCCACCCCCACTCCCTCTGACGCCTCCACCGCCACCTCCACCGCCCCTGCCAGCCCCTCCAGCGCCCTTGCCCCCCTTGCCCTTGCCGGTGCGGCGTCTCCCGCTAGGGGCAGACGCAGCGCCGACCGACTTGGTGCCAACGAAGTTGACGGCAGCAGCAGAGGCAACAGAGGGCAAAAGGGGGGAGGGGGAGCACCCCTCAAAGAAGGGGGCACGAGGGTCACCACGAGAGGCTCCTACAGCGACTATACTCTTCTCAGCTGCCAGGAGGTGCTCCTCGAGGAGGTCAACGGGGAGTGTGGTTGGGCAAACAGAATGGAAGTGGTCCCTGACCGAGCGAAGGGAGTCAGGGAGCCGGGTGACTATGTAGTAGAGGGTGATGTACATGGGGGGGGGGGTTCTTGGCGCAGAGTTCAGCAGGAAGCGCAGCGCGGTAGCAGGTGTCACTAGTGCGAAGGTGCGTAATGAGGTCAGCGACAGTGGGAAAGGCGGGGAGGGCAGGGAACAGGTACGGCAGCATGAGGCGGCTAAGGGCAGCAGTGTCAGGGGAAGAGTAGCGTGCGACTACAGCGTCGTACAAGGTCCTAGCACTCTTGTACTGACTGAAGTGCGCGCGCTCAGAGGACGGCAAGTGACTACGCACAGCAAGACGGGCAGGAGCATCGCGTGTGGCCCACTGTGAGGGAACAGTGCTCTCAGCATCGGTAGCAGGGGCAGCCGAGTCGTCAGACGTGAGATCGAACAGTGAGAGACCGAGACCCAGACCTCAATGTCAACAGCCCGACCCTCAGCATCAAAGACGAGAACGCTAGGGGTAGCCATGACAACAGTGGCAACAGGCTAGGGGCAGTAGCAGCAGGCTAGGTGCAGCGCAGTAGCAGGGGCGCGGCTCGGCGGTGCGCTTACCAGGGCGGGAGGATAGAGTGCCGCAAGTGGAGGGGCAGGGCCGAGGCGCGCCTGCAGGGACATGGCCGCGATACCGGCAGCGGCTCCTGCTTTTGGCGGCGGCGGCTGCTGCGGCCCCAGTAGTGGCGGCGGCGGCCGTAACGGCAGCGGCGGCCGTTGCTGCTCCGGGCGGTGGCGGCGGCGGCTGCGGCTCAAGTAGCGGCGGCGGCGGCATCGGCTGTTATTGTCAGCGGCGGCAGCGGCGGCTGCTGTTGTCGCCGGCGACGGCGGCCGCTGTTGTCGGAGAAGGGGCCGCGCAGGGGCCACGAAGGGCGGCGACGAGGCCGTGAAGGGGCCGCGAGGGGCCGCAAAGGGGCCGCGAGGGGCCGCAAGGGGCCGCGAAGGGCCGTGAGAGTGGCCGCGAAGGGCGGTGACGGGGCCGCAAGGGAGTCGCGAAGGGGCCGCAAAGGGCCATGCGAGGGGGCCGCGAGGGGCCGTAAGAGGGCCCGACGGGCCGCTAAGGGCAGGGGACGCGACGGGAGGGCAGGCACACGGGGCGCGACTTGGGTAGGGGCGAAGCGCGCTCCGGGCAGGAAATTTTTTTTTTTTTTTTTCGATTTTCAGTGGTGGATCCTAGGAAACGTTCCCACTAGGGAACCTGCTCTATACCATGTGAGAAGCACGAGGAATGATTGACTAAGGAATGAGTGTGATACAAATATGAAACCCTAGAATTGTGTACCCTTTAGTATCTAACCTGCTACAGCCTACACAGGTTAGATCATATAAGTCTGACAACTGTTGCGAGGCCCGGAGATAGAGTGGATTTACTACAGTAACGTGGCCCGCGGGGAGAAAACGCGGGCGTAGTTTTGGGCAGACCTCATCGAAAGATTCGAGCCTATAAATTCGGTGTACATGGCAAGGCAGCAGATTCATCGGCAAAAACAACTCGGCAGTATAGCACTGTACACGCAACAGATGGAATAGTTATTCAACCGAATCACCGACCTGACCGAAGGCAAAAAAATCATAGCGTACACCGAGGGGTTGAAAATGGAGATTCGCCGACAAGTCATCGCCGCGAACTACAGTAGCTACCTCGACATGGTACGTGCAGCAACGATACGACGCGTTGATGCGTGGTCAACCCGAAACACAACGCTACTGATCGAACCGATCATTTGGCACGGAGTGATCGGCACCCCCCACATTCGCCGAACTGATAGATAGCGTCAGATTTGACGCGAAGGAGCAGCCGACAAAATGCGAATTCTGTGGTGCAGCTGGACACCAAATCCCATCGTGCTACAAAATCATACGTTTATCATTCATCTAGGCTTTAGTGGGCCTAGCCTTAGGGGGTACATTTAGTTTTCTCGACACTCTCTTGTACCACCCTCTCTCCTCAACCTAATCATTCCCTTAGCTAATCTCGACATGGTATAGAGTAGGTCCTTCCTAAGGACCGTTTTTTTTTTTAGAAGGCCCACCACTTAGTGTTGTTCTTGCCCAAATTTCTGCCCTGCCCTGCCCTTCCCCGTACCTTCCCGCTGCCCTGCCCGACTGAGCGCAGCGAGTACAGCCCGCGCGCCGCTCGCGCGCAGCCCATTTAGCCCGCGCGCCGCCCGCGTGCAGCCCGTACAGCCCGCGCAAGGCCCGCGCGCAGCCTGTACAGCCCGCGCCTGACCCGCACCCAGCCCATATAGCCCACGACAGGCCCGCGCGCAGCTAGTACAGCCCGCGCCAGGCTTGCGCGCGGTCCGTACAGCCCGCGCCAGGCCCGTGCGCACCTGCCCTGCCGCCCGCGCACCTGCACTGGCCTTGCACCTCGCCGGCACACTGTCCCTGCTGCCCTACTGCCGCCTGTACTGCTGTGGCTGCACTACCGCTGCTGCCCACGCTACTGCTGCTGCTGCACTGCTGCTATTGCCCTGCACCGTGTTGTGCCAGCAAGCGCGGCTGCCCTTACCTACCTGCACGTGTGAGCCCTGCCCTGTGCACCTGCCCTGCTCCGCGCTGCGGCTCTGCAGGCGCGGCTGCCCTGCCTTGCCCCACGCTGTTGCACTGCTCGTCACGCGCCACCTTACACTGCCCTGCCCGCGCGCTGCCCGACTGGCCACAGCCCTACCCTGCCCTGCCCGCGCGCCTCCCTGCTGGCCGCCGCCCTGGCCCGATCTGCCTGCGCACCGCCTTCTGGCCGACGCCTTGCTTTGCCCTACCTGCATGCTGCCCTGCTACTAGCGCGCCCAACTTCTTTGCTCGCAATGGCTACTCTTAGTCTCAGTGTACTCTCGCTCGATGCAGAGGGCCGTCCGATACAGTTCGACCCGTAGATAGATGACATGCAGCTGTACTTACAGAGCGATTCTAGGAGCAGTGTCTCGCTATTTGACCTCACGTCTGGAGCCTCTCTCGCACCTTCCGCCACACCTGACAGTGCGACTCGCTCAAAGTGGCTTACCCATGATGCTGCTGCTTGCCTAGCCGTTCGCAACCACCTGCCGTTAGCCGAGCGCGCTCACTTCGGCAGGCACAAGACTGCTAGAGCCCTGTATGACGTTGTAGTCGCTCGTTACTCCTCTCCGGCCACTGCTGCTCTAGGCCACCTTATACCGCCCTACCTGTTCCCCGAGCTGTCCGCCTTTGCCACAGTCGCCGACATTGTCACTCACCTTCGCACTAGTGACACTCGCTACCGTGCCGCGCTTCCCGCCGAGTTTCTAGCCAAGAACCCTCCTCCCATGTACATCACGCTCTACTTCATCGTCACCCGCCTCCCTGACTCTCTTAGCGCAGTCAAGGACCTCCTTCTCGCCCTTGACCCCTCACACCTCACTGTAGACCTGCTTGCGAAGCACCTCCTTGCAGCTGAGACCAGCATAGTCGCTGTAGGCCCTTCTCGTGGCACTCCTCGCACTCCCTTCTTTGAGGGGTGTTCCCCCTCCCCCCTTGTCCCCTCTTTCGCTTCTGCTACTGCTGTTGACTTCCTTCGTGTTGAGGAGGTCGGGGCTGCGTCTGCTCCTAGTGGGAGGCGCCGCAGCGGCAGGGGCAAGGGAGGCCAGGGTGGTGGGGGTGGCAGCAGTGGAGGTGGTGGTGGGGGGCGGTGGAGGCGGTGGAGGTGGCAGTGGTGGCAGTGGGAGTGGTGGTGGGAATGGAGGCGTTGGTGGCGGCGGTGGTGGCAGCAGTGGGGGTGGTGGTGGTGGCAATGGTGGCGGCAGTGGGAGTGGTAGCGGGAGCAGTGGTGGCGGTTGAGGTGGAGCTCTTTAGAGGGGAGGTTCAGGCGGTGGCCAGAGGCAGCAGTAGCAGCGTCCGAGCGAGACCCCGTTGCCCCAGCAGCTTCGTGAGTGGTTTGCTCTGCGTGGGGCGTCTGGGGGTAGTGTTCGCTGCCCGTATGTCATTCGCATTGGTGTTGGCACTGGCCAGACATGCGGGAAGCTCCACACCCAGTACTGCTGCTTCTCCTGTCTTAACAACGCCTTTCGCGCAGAGTTTCCCGACAGGTATGAGCTCCCCCGCTGGGCAGAGCTGCTTAGGCGGGGTGTGGATATCTTTGCTCTTAATTATGATGCAATCATTGCTACCATGTATCAATTGACTGTTAGTGATGAGGCTGACTGTTGCCTGTGTGTGCCTCCCGACCCAGGGATAGAGGCTGCTGCTCTAGGTGCTAGTGAGTCTGCTCTTTCTGGTACTACGTCTGCTGAGGCCTTGCACACCTTAGTGCTTGACTCAGGTGCTTCCCGCTGTTTCTTTCGCGACAGCACCACAGTCATACCACTCTCTGCACCTATTGCAGTGACACTGGCTGACCCCTCTGGGGGTCCAGTTCTTACCCGTACTTCCGCTGTTCTTCCGTGTCCGGCGGTTCCGTCTGGCTCACTGTCAGGTCTTCACCTCCCCTCGTTCTCTACGAGCCTGGAGAGTACCGCTGTTCTCCAGGATTAGATGGTCACTACCACCACTACTGGGGGTCAGCATGTGGCGATGTGCACGAGTACACGGACGGGCCGTCACCTGGCCACGTTCACTCGTCGGCCTGGGTCGAGTTTGTACATACTGAATACTGAGCCTCCTCAGGTAGCTGCGTTAGCGTCCGCGTCAGGTCAGCTTGCAGCCCCTTGCTCGTGTCGAGCCTTGTCGCACCAGACACTCCTTTGGCACCACCACCTTGGTCATCCCTCCCTGCCACGCCTCCGTGGCATGCACTCCCGTCTCCTTGTCTCTGGTCTTCCTGAGGAAAGTAGAACGAGAAGGAATGACTAAGGAATGGAAGTGATACAAATATGCAACCCTAGAAATGTGTACCCCATATGGGCTACCCCAATATAGCCTACACAATATAATAATTTAACACACCCCCATAGGCAAAGTGGGGGAGAACAAGGGGTCACAAGACCAGTCAGGCAAAGCAGACAAAGCTCAGGGTGGATCACAACGTCACCACACAGTCCGAGCACAAGGTCAAGGCCACAAGGCCAGTTCACATGCAGGAGTACACATATATATATAAGGCTAAACAAGCAAGAGCAGGTATATATATATGTAAGAGTACAAGCAAGGTCAAGGGGTGAGCAAGTGAGGCAAGACAGGCACAAGACCCAGCTGAGTGCAGAAGCGCTGATGATCACAAGGCGAAAGTGCCCTGGTGAAAACATCAGCAGTGTTGGCCTCAGAGGCCACGTACGCAAGTTGCAACTGACCACGCTGCTGCAACTCACGAGCAAGAAAGTAGCGGAGAGCAATGTGCTTCGTTCTGTGCTCCAGGCGCAGCTCCCGACACAAGGCTAGCACGGCCTTGTTGTCTACGTACAGCACCGGAGGAGAACGAGGCGGCTCTCCGAGGTCAGTCAGCAGGTAGGTAAGCCAGCGAAGCTCCTCTGCAGCCATGGCCCCGGCGTAAATCTCAGCCTCACAACTGGAGCCGAGAACAGAAGACGAGCAAGTAGCCCGCCACGAAACAGAGCCGGAACCAAGGCTGAAGGTGTAACCCTGTGACGACCGCTGCATAACCTGGTCGTCTGCCCAAGAAGCGTCCGCGTGCCCAGTGAGGACCACTGGACTCCGCCCTCGAAGCACTAGCCCCATGCCCGACGTACTGCACAAGTAGCGCAACACCCTCTTCGCTGCAGCCATGTGCTCTGGTCTGTGTCTCCCAGGAGCAACATAGCGTGCAAGAATGCTAAGAGGGTATGCAAGGTCAGGTCGTGTGCAGGTCATCAGGTACATGAGGCAGCCGACAAGCTCTGGGTACGGGCCACTCGACTCTACGGACTCATCCGAAGGCAGAGCTGAGAGCGAGTGGCGAGTAGACAGAGGAGTGGCCTGAGGCGAGGAGTATGTGAAGCCGAAGCGCTGAAGGACCTGCTGCACCATGTGTGACTGAGTTAGGGTAATGGTGCGGCGTGCTCTGTCCCGGGTGATCTGCAAGCCAAGGTAGCTGCGCAGTTCACCCAGGTCTGTGCACGTGTGTCTCTTCTGCAGCTCGGACTTCACATGGGCGAGTCCAGCAGTGTCAGCTGTGGCAAAGACCAAGTCGTCGACGTACACGAGGATGTAGAACGGCGGCAGAGAGGTGTCGGTGCGTAGAAACAGCGACGGGTCAGCAGTAGAGGGAGCAAACCCAAGAGCCGCAAGTGTAGTCCTCAGTGTGTCGTGCCACTCGCGCGGTGCCTGGCGGAGACCGTAGACTTGCCGTCGGAGGCTCCACTGGGTGCCAGGAGGGAAAGTCCCAGTGAAGACAGGTGGACGGCGCAACCAGATCTCCTCGTGCAGGCTACCGTGCAGGAAAGTAGTGATGAAGTCAAGGGAGAGAAGCTCGTAGTCACACTGAGCGGCTACGTGTAGCAGCACCCAAAGAGTAGTCATCTTCGGGGTGGGAGAGAAGGTCTGAAAGTAGTCAACTCCCTGCCGCTGACTGAAGCCACGAGCCACGTACCGCGCCTTGAAGACAGGTGGAGAGCCCGGCGGCCGCTCCACCCTGAAGATCCACATGCCACTGACGATGTTCGCCCCAGGAGGGGGAACCGCGTCAACGTAGGTGCCTGTGGACTTCCAGGAAGCCATCTCTGCTTCCATAGCTGCCTGCCACTGAGAGGAGTAGGGAGCCTCTACGGCCTCCGCGTAAGAGCGCGGAGTCGGGATGTCTAGTGCATCCGGGTCTCCCTCAGGGGTAAGCACTACGGACGCGAGATGAGGTGAAGCAGCAGCCAGACACTGGAACTCCTCCTGCCTGTCCTCAAGGACGTCCTTGCCAAGAGCACACTCACCCCCGACGGACGGAGGACAGACAGACGCAGACTCAGCAACAAGACTAGCAGCGTAGTCTAGACGACAGCGAGCAGCAAAGTTGACGAGCTCAGCAACAAGAGCAGACCCAGCAGTGGACTCAAAGGAGGGGTCAGTGACGACAGTAGCAAGGAGACACGTGACAGTAGGACTGGCAGCACGAAGAGAGTCCGACTCCGGAGGAGAGGGCAAAGGGGCACGCAGAGGAGTAGTGGACGGACGCAGAGACATCCGGTGCGTGCCAGGGACAGGAGGAGGACGCTGACGCGAACTGCGACCACTAGTGCGAGCAGCACAAACAGGCGACGCAGTACGAGACGCAGGCTCACGACGCTCAGCAAGACCTCCAGTAGGACCAGTGTACGGAGAACGAGAGGGCAGTGGGGAGGCCGGCGGTAACTGTGACTGTGACTGGACAGGCGGTGGACACTCTAAGGGAGGAGGAAGACCAAGAACGTGCTGAAGGAGCGGAACAAAGTACGGCCGAGGCCGCGCGGCAACTCCAGACACAGCAGGGACAGCACCAGCACCCCCAGCGGCAGCACCAGCGTCAACAGCACCTCCAGCTCCAGTACCTCCAGCAGCACCAGTAGCACCCGCAGCAGGACCGCCGCCAGGACTGACAGAAGTAGCCTCAGCGCCAACACCCTCAGCATCTCCGACTCCAGTAGCACTCGCAGGACTAGCACCTCCGAGACCGGCGGCACCAGCACCCTCAGCAGCAGAATAAGCACCAGCTCCAGTAGTACGCCTCCAGCGCCGGGCAAACCACTCGCGCAGCTCCTGTGGAGAGAGTGGCTCTCGCCGAGACAAAGCACCCGGAGAACCAGCAGGCCGAGCACCGCCAGACGCCACACGAGCAGGTCCAGCGGCCGCGCGTTCCGCACCCCCAGGCTCAGTAGCTCCAGACTCAGCACCCCCAGGCTTAGCAGCTCCAGACGCAGCACCCCCAGGCGAAGGACCCCCAGGCTTAGCACTGTCAACGGGAGTTGTGTGTTGGCCCCGTCCACGCTTGGGCAGAGCCGACTTCGTGGTGGGGTGTACGGAAGGTACAGCCGACTTGCAGCAGTGGGCGACGCCGACTTGGACGAGCTGGTCGACGGGGTTGGTCGACTTGCACGGCGCCACTGCAATACCGCCGACTTGGGAAGCCAGCGGCCGACTTCAACTGGTGGTCGGCGATGTGGCACGTCGACCTGGAAGTCGGCGCCGACTTGCAAGGTCACCGACTTGCAAGGTCACCGACTTGCAAGGTCACCGACTTGCAAGGTCACCGACTTGCAAGGTCACCGACTTGCAAGGTCACCGACTTGCAAGGTCACCGACTTGCAAGGTCACCGACTTGCAAGGTCACCGACTTGCAAGGTCGCCGACTTGGGAGGTCGCCAACTTCAAGAGGTCAGTCTGGAAGTCGGCGCCTACGTAGAAAGGGCGTCGACCTCGTGACGCCGACTTGGGTAGCTGACAACTGCACTGGTCGACCAGGAGTGACGTTGACCTGGATCTGGTCGACCGGAGGAGTGGTCGACCTGGTGCGGTCGACCTGGTGTGGTTGTCGACTTGGGAGGTCGACGAGCACATACAGGAGCAGCTGGTCGACATAGTTGCCCGGTCGACCAGGATACCTGGGTGACGAGGTTCTGCGAAGGAGTGCGACGGTCACCCAGGCGAAGTTGGCGAGACCGACCTCCATGGTGGTATCCCGAGGTCGTCGTGGCGGATCAGAGGCAGTCGCTAGCCCGAGGTTGACGTGGTGTGTGCGCTGTGCAGGTGACGAGACTTTGCATGCCAATCATCTGCGCGCACCTGCAAAGCGGGTGCACTGCTGTCCTGCGTGAGCAATGCTGGCACACCGTCAACCTGTAGCGTTGGCAAGCTGTCGACTTTGCACTGCTGTAGCGTGGTCGACCAAGTCGTGCTGGAACGTGGTCGACCATGCAGTGCTAGCAGTCGACCAACCTGAATGC